CCCTGGGTCACTTGCCTGCAACCCTAGCACATTCTTGGCCCTTGTATCAAGGCCACAGCCTGGGAGGTAGCAGGCAGGTGCTTCTCTGCAGCTCCACAGAGCATGGCTAGTGCTGCTCTGTCCAAGGTGCTTTCCCGGAAGCCAGTCCTGTACCCTCCCTGGTCAGGACCCAACAGCTTCTTGTATCGGGGCGGCCCCAGCAAGCCGCCCTGCCCTTTGGTTGGAACAATTTGGCAGCCTGCTTTAGCCCCTCCCTTGCTAGAGTGGGGCAGCTGCCCCACAACACACCCCAGGCTCAAATCCCCCGGCTCGGCCTCCCAGACGGTGAGTGTACAGTCCGCAGGCACCAGCGGGGGCAGTTAGGCACCATGTGCAGAAAGTGCCGGCGATAAACAGGGACATTCAGTTTCTGAAGCTTGGCCCAAAACGATTGCTGCCGGGAGACTCTGCCCTGGGGCTGGTTTGCTGGGGCATTGTAGCCCCACGGCGCATCGTCTTCTCCTGGCACCAGTGGCAACGCTGCCCCCGGCCCTGGTGCCACGACGTTTTCCACAGAGCCACGACATAGTGTGCTCTCTTCCTGGTGCCTCCCTTTTGTGGCCAGACCCAGAGCTGCTTCTCTGCGGCGCGTCTGGGGCTGGATGTGGGGTGGACGGTCGGGGTCAGTGTTTGAGAAGTGATGAAACTTGCACAACAGTTGCAAGACCTAAAGCTCTTGCATCTGGGCCTTAGGGATTACGCTGCAGAGACCCAGCCAGATCAGAGAACGCTCTTGCTGCGGGCGGCACCCTGGGCTTTTCTCTTCCCCTTTTTGTCTTTGTCTATAAACCCGGGGCACTTGTGGCAATTAGGGCTTTATCCTCCCCTGGAGCAGCTGGTTTCAGAGGCCACGTCTACACGACTCACGTTATTTCAAAATTAGGGGAGCGTCCGCACAGTTAGTCTTGACATAACAGGCTTCTTCTTCCGGAATAATGAACCCTCGTCCCACGAGGAATAACACCTGTTCTGACATTGCTCTTTCCAAATAGCAGTCGTGTGGATGCTCCACTGCTGCTGTTTCAAAATAGCTCCTCCCGGAGGCCACTAAAAGTAATTATTCCCCAGTGTCTCCTAGGGCTCTAAATCGAGGTGCCCATATTAGGGGAGCCTGCCTTGGACTCATTTTGAGGCTTCCCTGTAGTGTGGACGTGCTATTTCGAAATATCCTTGTAGTGTGACCTACCCTAGTAATAACAGTGATGGGAAAGGGAGTCTGCCTGGGCTACCCTGCCCAGCCAGAACCCTGGGTTCACACTGAGCGACTGCACCCTGGTTACTAGGTATCTGCTGCCGTCACTCGTGCCAATTGCAGCGTAGACACAGTCAGCGCTTATGTCTACACTGAAGTTATTCTCCTGTGGCTGGCCCGTCTCACTCAGCTCACAGGGTTCACATGGCAGGTGCTGAAACTGCAGGGCAGATGTTCTGGATTCTCACCCATCAAGGGGTCCCAGAACTTGGGCTCCAGCATGGTCCCAAACACCTGCACCTCCTGGATAGCTCTGTAGCCTGCATCCTGTGAGCCTGCAGGAGCTGTCCTGGGCCAGACGTGGGTGTTTAATTGAAGCGCAGACCCCCCCAAGCGAGCTGCCGAGGTGGCACAGGGAGGGAGCCTACATCTGACTCCCGGTCCTGCGCTCTCAGGACAAGACCATCCTTCCCCTCTCGTCCAAACTGGAGCCAAACCAGCTTCCAAAGGTTTGCTTTTGTGCAGGGTCCAAACCAGGAACAGGCCTGTTCGCAGGAGAAAGGCCGATCTCATGAGCTCTCTGCTGGTTTGGCACCGTGGAATCCAAACCCCATTGCCAGGCCGAATCGAGAGCCAAGGCCCCTTCCCACCATCACTGGTTAACATGACGGCGCAGGTGCTGGGAATGGCAATGCACCTTCCCTGGAGTCAGTTCATGGTGGGGTGAAAGTCCTGAGCAGGGAATGGCTGTGCTGTGCCACAGGCATCTCAGGACCAGCTTTCACACGTGTGATGGAATTCCTTGGCTACGTTTTTGGGAAGCGGATCTGGTCTTGAATGCTGGGCAGTCCCTTCCGAAAGAGCAGCCCTCTGCCACGGCCCTTTCTTCACCCACAAATGACCCCATTTTGTCACAAACACTTCCTGGCATGAGGAACCCAGGAGCGAGGAGGCTCGGTGAGAAGGGAAGAGCCGGGTCACAGCATCCCCTTTGCGGTGGGAGGTGAACTCAGTGCTAGGGGGGAAGTTCCGCTGCCCGAGGGTGTCACGGACGCAGATGGGAAGTGACTTTTCACACCCCGGCGTTCACAGGCTTCCTGCAGACACAAGGGCGCTGGGGAAGGGTCTCCCCTCTGCGGCACCGGGCAGGATGGTCCCTTCCCTGCCTGGTGCTGATGCTGCTGGAAGCCTCTGGTGAGTGTGGAACATTGTGGGCACAAAAGCTTCCAGCAGAGGGGAGTCCCAGGGGCTCGGAGGGAGGATAAGCCCTTGTAGGTTTCTACACCAGCAGTTTGAAAGGACGGGTCGTGGCCCAGCGCTGGGGGCTGGGATGTCGGGCGCTGGGTGTTGTGGCTGCAGGGGGATGAGGTGAGCAGCGGGTGTGTGGGGAGGGGGC